TTCTTTAAAAGAAGAAATGTGTAGTAAAGAATAAATCTTTATCTACATCTCTATATACAATAATAAACACCTAACCAATATATATATATATATGTATATATATATTATATATATATATGTATATATATATATATATATTATATATATATATGTATATATATATATAAATTAGAACCTGTGCACACTGCCCTTTTCCACCAATAAACCCTAAACCCTAAACCCTAAACCCTAAACCCTAAACCCTAAACCCTAAGCCCTCTTGTACCTCTTTTTCTTCTTTAGAGAGGTTTTTCTTTGCTTCTTTGAGAGCATCAAGGTGCTTTTTAATTCTAGAGAAATCGCAGACTTCGAAGCCGCCAGCATCTGGTGCTGCTGCTGCTGCTGCTGCTGCAGCTGCTGCTGCAGGAGCAGCAGCAGCGTCTGCTGCTGCATCTCCCTCAGCAGCAGCAGCAGCATCAGCAGCAGGCTGATTAATTAAACGCACTTGAGTATGTCTCGGATCTTTCTTTATCAAATGATCATCCGGCAGCTTCGATAAAAATGCTCGCCAAAAATTCCGAACAAACCGGATCTTCGTCGCGTAGTCACTCTCCAAAACCCCACACCTGTACACCCCAAAACCCTAAACCCTAAACCCTAAACCCTAAACCCTAAACCCTAAACCCTAAATTCTAAACCCTAAATTCTAAAGCCTTAATATGAAGCTGTTGGAATTAGTAAACCCTAAGTTAAAGCAGGGAGCACTACAAAAGAATATGCACAACTCTATGCTGGAACTCTAAAACCCTAAACCCTAAACCCTAAACCCTAAACCCTGATCATGTTGTTGTATTAAGCAATCCCCAGACCCTAAATCTAAGCCTGGCAGCCACACACCCGAATCTGCAGAACCCCACGCCAGAATTGCAAAACCCTAACCCTAAACCCTAAACCCTAAACCCTAAACCCTAAACCCTAAACCCTACCAGAAGTTTGCAACTTCTTCTGCTTCCGGGGGCAGAGACACTGTCTGTCCTTTATAATCAATGCAAACCCCGTGCGGTTCGTAAGGAGGAGCAAACATTAAACCGTTATGTTCTAAGTACTGCCACTGAAACGCACAAACCCTAAACCCTAAACCCTAAACCCTAAACCCTTATTCGAAGCATTCAAGCTCACGCCATTGCAAAACCCAACAGCCATAAACCCTAAACCCTGAAACCTAAACCCTAAACCCTTAAACGCTCAACGTTTAACCATAAAAACACCTTATAAACCCACCAAAACCCTAAACCCTAAACCCTAAACCCTAAACCCTCATCTAACCTGCACAACGTTGTTCTCAAGCTGAGACAGATCCTTCTCCCACCACCGAGAGATAGGTTCAAAGTTTTCTTCAGTTTTTGTGTATTTGTTGCGGCGTCGAGGGAGCCCTGGCGAAGGAGAAGCAGAAGGTCTATTCAATTCTTTTTTAGCTGCTGCTGCTGTTGCTGCTGCTGCTGGAGATGTTGCTGCTGCTGCTGCTGCTCCTCCTGATGTTGCTGTTGCTGCTGCTGCTGCTGCTGCTGCTGCTGCTGGGGGGGGAGAGGCTTCGCGTGATGCCTCAGCCTTCACGTTCCGCAGAGCAGCAGCAAGAGATCCACTTACTGCTGCTGCTGCAGGCTTTGCTGCTGCTGCTGCAGCAGCAGGAGCACTGCCATTGCTATTGCTGCTCCCGTTGCTGGTGCTAGTCGTGCTGCTGCTGCTGTTGCTGCTGCTGCTGCTGCTGCTGCTGCTCTCCTCCTTCACAGCAGACTCTGCAGCATCTTCTTTCTCATTTACTTGATTTTCTGTATCCATAGCAGCATCTGCTGCCGCTGCTGCTGCTGCTGCTGCAGGCGTGGTAGCAGCAGCAGCAGCAGGGGCTTCGTCTTTAACTTTCTTGAAGCGTTTCGACAGCGGGACGGAGTCCTCGTCCGAAGAGTCGTCGCCCTAATCACAAACCCTAAACCCTAAACCCTAAACCCTAAAACCCTAAACCCTAAACCCTAAACCCTAAAACCCTTGACCTTAAACCCTTCGGCTCCCGCTACGGCGAGCATTCAGCAGCATCAATTGAAGAGGGGAAAGACAAACAACCCTAAACCCTAAACCCTAAACACTAAACCCTAAACCCCCCACCAAGGTGAACAAGACTCAAAGGATGTCTGAATTTAGCAAGGGTTTAGGGTTTAGGGTTTACGCAGTCCTTACGAGCTCGCGTTTCTTGTGCATCTTCTCGGCCCTGCAGTGGCGCCGGCACCGATAAACCCTAAACCCTAAACCCCTGCAGAAGGCAGTATAAAAATGGCTGGTATGGGGAGTGTAGAACTGCTAAACCCTAAACACTAAACCCTAAACCCTAATGGGTGGTCCTGTGGGGGCTGCGCCTTCAGCTGGGCAGTTCCTACCGTTGCTGCGGCAAGCTGTGAATAAATTAAGAAAAAAGATATAACTAAAATAAAAAATTTTGTCATTTCAGCAAACAATTCATCAAAAGTTGCGGTGTATATACCCCTGAGCCCCATACCGCTCCGCGCATGCGTCTGTCGCTCACCGAAGTTACAGCGTTTTTCTTGTATTTTTTGCGGTTTAAATGCAAACAAAAGGATTTTTTACGGTTTATTTTCAATAAAGGATTAATTTAAAGTCTTTAATGACGGAAAAGCTCCCAGAAAACCGTCAATTCACCACCCCCCTGCAACCGAAGCCCGTAAGCACAGTCTGGTGTCTGTACACCTCAGCATCAAAGTATTTGCATTTGCAGCTTTTTTAGATAAATTCCTTCTATTTAATTTATTGATTTTTAATTTTAGAATATTTTCCTTCCTCCTGCTGCCTAAAGAACACACACACGAATACTAAACCAACAACCGAGGCCCTTTCCTGCATGTAGCTACTTACCTAAGCTATCAATCTAGCTAGCTAGCTAGCTTGATACATAACTAGCTAGCTAGATAGCTATTTAACCAGCTAGCTAGCTAGCTAGCTAGCTAGCGCCCCGGGCTGGCAAGATACAGCAGGCCCTGGCGGTGAACGACTAAATAGCAGCAATGCGCGGTGTCTTGAAGCTTCACCAGCCAGCTAGCTACCCTTCTATACCTAGCTGACTAGCTAGCTATCCAGCTAGCTAGATGAAGAAGGGTGTAAATGATGATGAGGAGGCAGTGCTAGCTCCTGAGCTGCAGAAGAAACAAACTAAGGGAGACAGGCGTTGTTCGTCTTTGTTTGTTTTTGATGCCTTTGTTTGTTTTTGATGTCTTTGTTTGTTTTTGCTGTCTTTGTTTGTTTTTGCTGTCTTTGTTTGTTTGATCTCATTGTTTTTCTGCTGTTTGTTTGTTTTTGTTGTTGCTGCCGCTGTGTGTCTCTGCTTACTTTACAACCGACAAACATAAAAAATAAATAAACCGACAATAAAATAAGCAAATAAATAAATAATGATAGAAACAAATAAAGAAGAGTAAAGACAGAAACAAATAAATAAATAAAACAAAGACAGAGGCAAATAAATAAATAAAACAAACAAACATAAAAAAAAACGAGTAGAAGACAAAGAGAGACAAATAAAAAAGAAAAACAGTGTTGTCTGTCTCCACCCCACCCTAAACCCTAAACCCCAAACCCTAAACCCTAAACCCTAGGGTTTAAGGGTTTTCTTTGTTTGTTTTTGCAGGCAACAAAACGAGAGGGAACAAACCCAAAATACACCCGATGCAAATTCCCAGCTGAGCAAACAAAAACAAACAAAACAAAAAAAAACAAATATGCAGACGCCTATGCTATACTTTTATACTCAGCTTCCTATACACCGCAAAAGCTGCCTATACACCTCAGAAGCTGCCTATACACCTCAGAAGCTGCCTCAGACGCTGCCTATACACCTCAGAAGCTGCCTATACACCTCAGAAGCTGCCTATACACCTCAGAAGCTGCCTATACACTTCAGAAGGTGCCTATACACCGGAGGGGAAGTCTTACAACAGAGCCGCTGAGATGTGCATTTCTTGCGGTATTACTTTCGGCTTGCTGCGGAGACAGTCGAGCAGTTGGAGGCCCTGAGCAGCACAAAGACAAACAACAAAGTCCACAATAACTAGGTATATAGCTAGCTAGCTAGCTAGCTAGCTAGCTAACTAGGTAGCTGACTAGGCAGATAGCTAGCTAGCTAGCTAGCTGACTAGGCATATGTCTAGCTAGGTAGCTAGCCAGCTAGCTAGCTACACAGGTAAATGCTTAGCTACCTAGCTAAAAAGTCAGCTAGCTACACAGGCATATATCTATTGAGCTAGCTATCTATCTATCTAGCTAGCTAGCTATTTGGCTAGCTAGCTATTTAGCTAGCTAGCTAGCTAGCTAAATATATACATACACTTGAAGCGGTAGACGAAGCGTTCGATAAAACCTCCTGTCAATACACCCGAAGCACAACTAACTAAATTGCCCAGGCCTGCTGCCTGCAAAAGAAGAGAAAGACAGAAAAAGTTTATTTAATTTATTTATTAAATACTAATAGATGTTTAAATAACTAAGATATATATAATAAATATATAATATATATACAAATGTATATTTATATATATATATATATATATGTAATTACTTTGATACAAGAAGAAGAAACAGAAAGAAAATAAATTAAATTTGTTAAATTAATATAAATAATTGTTTAAATAATTAATAAACACAAACAAGAGGCCTACTTATATATAAATAAATGTATATATATATATATATATACATAAATATATATATACATAAATATATATATATATAAATTATATATTATATATTATATCTATATGTATACATACATGTACTAATAAACAAATAAACAAATAAATAATAAGCAAATAAACAAATAAATAATAAACAAATAAACAAACAAGCAAACAAACAAACAAATAAACAAACAAATAATAAACAAATAAACAAATAAGCAAATAAATAAGTAAATCAACAAGCAAATAAATAAATAAATAAATAAATAATAAACAAATAATAAATAAATAAATAAATAAATAAATATTCTTACAGCGAGAGTTGAGAGACCCAACGTTGCACCGACTTTTAAATCTATTAACTCTCCGCATAGCAGCATCAAGCTGCAGCAACAGCAGCAGCAAAACAAACAATAACATAAACATTACTGCTGCTGCTGCTGCTGCTGCTGCTGTTGCTGCTGTTGCTGCTGCTGGTGATGCTGGTCCTGTCGTTGCTGC